AACACAACAAGTTAGCACAACGGCTAAACTTCACCAGAGGATCTTAGCTCAAGAAATTGGCCCTGGTGGTGCTTTATAACACAACAAGTTAGCACAACGGCTAAATTTCACCAGAGAGCCTCAAGTCAAAGTTTCATCCCCGATGGTGCTTTAAAACACAACAGGTATGCCTCGCCAAAAGAATGGCGATGCTTGGTAACACAACAGGCAATATCTCATCAGAGAGGTTCAGTTCAAGAATTTCATCCCTTATGGTGCTTGGAAACACAACAGGTATGCCTCGCCAAGAGAATGGCGGTGCTTGGTAACACAACAGGCTATATCTCATCAGAGAGGTTCAGTTCAACCGCTACAGAGGAGTAGTAGCCGGTCTACAACCAAACAAGTACGAAAATGTTCAGAAACAGAGTCAAAAGCAGGGTTCAAGTATATCGGTTCAAAAGCAGGGTCAATTATTTCAGGTTCAAGGAACACGGGTACGAGTAGAAACTCACTCGCCTAGCTTATGCCCAGTAATTCACACTCTCAAGCAGTCATCAAACTTAAATCCACATACAGATCATATATAAATCAAGATACTTGCTCAAGAGTAAAAGAGATACCCTATTTTCAGTTAGGTCAGGTCTATCCAGTGTATGTAAGGGTACACTAGCCGATTCAAATTCAAGTCTACTTACAGGTCGTATACAAACCAAACTACTTGCTCATGCGTAAATGAAATATCATATATTCAGTCAAATCACAACCACTAAGTGTACGTAAAAGCACACTTGCCTAAACAATGTTCAAGTCTCGAGTGAACTCAGCCTAGTCAGTTTCCGGCAGTTCAAAGTCAGTCTCAGGCAGTTCAAGTAGTTCAAATCCCAACACTTACAAATCGGGTGGTGCCATCCTTAATCAAACAAGAAGACTAGATGAAGGTTGCAAAATCAAAAATTTTCTCAACAATCCAGCCACCACCATAATGTATCAAAATCCAAGCCAACACTTATTGGACAAGTCCAAGTCATTATTTCAATTTCCTCATTCAGTTAAGTCTTGAGTACAAGACAAAATCTTCTGCGCTCTAACCTGTGCCATTACAACTTATCTCAAACTCAATCATAATTTCTATTCACATCATCGTACGTTAAACCATATTCCGTCTAAAATTCACGAGCATTTCCTCAGGAAAAGTATCAGGTACACAAGTACAAGAATTCAAACTAAGAAACTTCACGACTCAGACCATATGGTTTTAAACGAAGTTCATCAAGTCATATCTTACGTGTACCATTTTCAAGAGTCACAACTGACGCTCCAAAAGAGCACTGAACGTACAAACCAATCCCACAGTCCGGCATCCTAAACTTTAAGCCTAAGATACACTACAAAGATCTGAAGCCTAAACTCTGATACCATTTGTAACGACCCCACCTCCCCCTAAGGCGTACCAGAGGGTTTAGCGGGCCGCCTGCCCAGCTCTCGCCGGGACTCACTCACTTACTACATTCCTCAAATAAATTACAAGGTACAACTCAAATAATACATCCAATTCTCCCAAAATTACATATCATAAGCGAAACGGAAACTAGTTCTAAGCGTAAAATGTAGATTTACATCTGATTCAATTTCAAATATTTATACAGCCCAAAAGTACATAAATCAAAACCAAAACTAAACTATACAAGATGTACGCCATCCAGCCACACAAAGATCCAAAAACAAGTTCTTCCTTTACTTCGATCCCTGTGGGGAGAAAAAGATAATAGGGGGTAAGCTAGAAACTCAGCGAGTGATCAGTAAAATCAACAGCGAAGTATATTTCACAATAAAGCATTGATATGATGTCATGATGCAGTAATCAAATGTTCATTTATTACTCATGTGAGCCAGTGAAGTTCTTGTACTTAAATATCCAATGCTCGTTTAGATCAGGTAACCATGAAACAGAAGTAAGGAGCCATCGGGCTCCAAAGAATGTGTAAACAATAGTGGAGACATTGGTTCTAAGCACAAAACTTTCCAAGAATTCATTGGAGTCAAATTATGTCATGGCACACACCCCAAATGATATGCAAAGGAGTAATAAATGCAAGAATTAGTTCAAAAGTAACTTTGGGAACAGTCGAGAGATCACTCACTCAAACTTTAGTGCTTCAAGTAGTCACGTTCAATTATACTCCAGGTTTGGAGTCCAGATCTGCGATAAAAATCCAATTTGAGAACTTTGAAACACGAGTAAGATTCGAAACTTAAACGTTCCGTTCGTTAAGAATCAACCAATTGAAATTCATTTGAAAGACATTCGTGAAACACTTGCTCGCTTCTCAAATCGTAAGGTTTTTGTAGCATATATACTTGAGTTGAAAGTACCAGGAAATACAAGTTTATATTGGCCATTATGTCTTTTCCTCAAGGGTACAAGTTCGTTTAGGTTTTTAACGTATAACCATCGATAACAAAGTAGCAAAAGTTCTCACTAGTTCAAGTGGTAATCACTTAACCTTCACTCAAGTTGCAAATATAGTTTTCTAGTTCTCGAATAAAAATTCGGGCAGCATGCCCTTTGTGTTTACCTAATTTTTCAGCCATTTAGGCTTTATTATTTTTCTCAACCAAAACCCAACATCACATATATCAGCAATTCATGACAAGAGCCGTTCCATAGGCTCACAATACCATAATAATAAGATTCACAACAATAGCAAGTGCAGAAATTCAATCTAGCACAAAACAGATTTGACGTATGAAAGCGGAAATAACATCTCCGAGGCTACACCTATCGGATTGAGGCACAACCTATGCCGTTTCGAAGCTAAGACACAGGGCTACAATGTTCATGAAGGTCACTTAGTCCAGTTTCTAATGTAACTTGGTCAAATTCTCAAATTACTAAACCAGAAACCAATTCGTCGGCTGTTTAAACGCAGAACACTGTAATGGTCATATCTCAGAGTACACAAGTCCGAATCAGGTCTTATTAGAGGCATTTGAAAGCTAATTCAGAATATTACAACTTTCATGTTTTGGCCAAGAGCTAAATCAGTACGTATCCTAGTCAAAAAACGTGATAAACTGGACTTAACTGATGAAACGGACTGCTGAGGAAATACTTAAAACAGTAAGGGTATTTTGGACTTTTCACGACCTACGTTGCTCCGATTGAGCTGAAATTTTGTAGGCACCTATAAAATACCATTCTATACAACTTTCATTCTTAGACCTAAGGCCAATTCGGCCTCTAACATACAGATATAAATTCGGACAGAATGTTGGGGAAAATTTCCAGATTCTGGAATTTCTAGTTTTTAGTGGAACTTTCCTTAATTTCTCACTCCAATCACTACCAAAACACCTTATAAAACCTCAATTGCAACATATAAGCATCATACAACAAATTGGGTAGAATTTCCCCAAACCCTAGTTCATCAAATAAAAAGGGGAAAACTTCTAAAACATGATAATCATCCATGATTCCACCACAAAATCAAGTTGCTAAGCTTAATTTAACAAGATTGAAAGTAAAATTTGGAGAGATAAGCTTTCTTACCTTGACTAGAGTTCACTAAGAGTAGCCCAAGCTTTCTCCTTCCCAAGTCTCACCACAAATCACTAACTAATCACTCAAGGACAAGTTTAATCGGTTTGTTTTGTTTGATTTCTCACTTAGTTGTTGGATTGAAGAAGAAATGGAGTGTTTTCCCTTGGTGTTTTTCTTCTCCTTCCTCTCGGCCAGCAGCAGCAAATGAAAAGGAAAAATTGCTGAATTTTGGAGATAAATGGATGGTCTTGGTCTTGGGTCAAGAAGCCTTAAGGTGGCGACAAGTGTCGCCACCACCACCTTTCTTTTTTTCTCTTTCTTTCTTGTTATTTCCTAGCCTCAAATTCGGTCAAACTTGCTGCCAAGAGAGAAGATATTTTGCTCAAGTAGAAAAATGGTGGTCAAGCGGTGCGTTCAATCGGTAGTGCGCGGGACCCGTCGGTTCGCGCCGTTTTTCTTAAAAACTCACGTACTAGGGTTTTTACTTCCCATTCACTAACCTTATATCATTGCCACTAGTCACATATTATTTCTCACTTAAAAGTCACTTTTAATCCCCAAATTAATCCTTACTCTCTACCGAAAATTCATCCGGCGAAAAATCGCGAAAACCCAAAATTCTCCAATCTTGAAACCAAAAGTGAAACCCTACTTTCTAGGTTCATTGGCACTTATTGTGGGGTGATTGAGTAGTAGGGCCATTATAAAGTGGTATTTGTCAAAGAAAAGGGAATTTTAAGAAAAATATAAGGAATTTGCACGGCTTCTGGCCGAATTCCCCACAAAACACTCTTCACCAGAAATTTCTCCCTTTTCTTCTGCCTCGGGGCGTTACAATAGCTGTCTCTGACCGTGAGTTTTCCTCATTATGCACACTTTTGTTGGTACAAAATGAGTCTAGGATTGAGGGAAGTGGGACTGCAAGTTTTAAATATAGTTTGCTTGAAGTTATGGTTAGACATCAACTTGGATGTCAACTGAAGCATTTTAACCTTTCTTGACCATTATTTTGAAGATATGACTTGTAAGCCCCTGAAAAATGTTTTTTTGCAGCTTGGCCGCCTTTGTCACTCTAAGGGAAATGTAAAACTATTGTAGTATTAGTATTACCACGGACTTTTTTACTTCAATTGTAATCCTATGGACCTTAGAAATGATTTGTAATCCCTTGAAAGGAATTCTCGGCTATAAATTTGGTATTAAGTTGAATACTACGAATGTATGCTTTAAGCTACTTCTTGAACAGGTTTTCAAGCGTTTGTCCTTTAGGCCTATAGGAAGGGAGGAAATTATTGGAGCTGAATAGAAAAAAAGTGATTATATCTATTTTTCAAATATAGTTCAATCCAAATGCATTTGTTTTTTAAGACAATTAGTTTTTCAAATACAGCAATCCAAATAACATTAGCTGTTTTTCAAAAACAGCTACAGTAAAAAAAAAACCTGAAAAACAACTTATTCAAACAGAGTCCCATCTGTCAAGAAAAGTAGCATTGAATCCTCTCATTTGGAGTACTTCAGCCAAGACATTTTTGTTAAGCCTCTCACATAGGGTACTTTCTGCCAAGACAATTTTTATTTAATGATTCCACGTGAACAAGAAAATTAATGTCTAACCCTTTAATTCAGGATACTCTGCCAAGATTATACTAGTTTGCTTCAAATTGCCAAGGTAAAGTGTCATTATGCAACGGCAGCCAATTCTGATACAGTTGCTTAGCCAAAAGCGTGCATTGAAGGAGGCAAGAGATTCCATTCGTCCACTATATAGGTGTCCATAGTTAGCAAGAGCCAAAACAAACTTTATCAAAAGAGATCCACAAACCAAAGAAAGATCCAGAAAAATCTTCATGCAACCACCATCCTCATTTCTGCACACAGTAACAATTTTGTTATAGTTCCACAAGCATATACTACATGTGGCCACCATTCTGGCGAGGTACTTAAGTCTTAAGTAGCTACATAGCCACACTGGCATGCAAACAACAGAAATGCAATATGAAGAAGAAACAGGCTGTCTACTTCTCCTTGTAAAACTTCATTGACATCAATCTGAACTGTACAATAAGCAAACTATTTAAGTTAAAGAACAGAACACTGTGTACAGCAGTATATACAAGACGAGGCTATTTACCGCAAAATACCAAAGACCAATCTATGATACATATCAAATAAGGAGAACTCCCTCATTGCAAGATAGTGTAATGCACAGAGCTCATCATCACCGGAATTTGATTTGTACTTCAATCACCCCAGGTCGTGTTTCACTATAGTGATATCTGCAAAAATTTAAACTTTTTTAACTGCAAATTCCTAACACTCACCTTGAAAAAGAAACGAAGAATATTACCTATTTTCATTGAGAAAGCTCCTAATGGCTGGAGGAAGTGTGGCTTCACCCCGACTATGCTTGCCTTTTCCTGAAAACGTATCACAAGAATCATATTGCACTATATAGTAGTATTATCCTGTCTGACTAAAACAACTGGCTTAAACCACTTAAAACTTCATTAAGAGGTCCACATCCCTTGTAAGGAAATTCAGGCACATTGCTTAGATAGTATATTAGAAGAGCAAGCACATGCATAAAACCAGAATATTAAACACTTTAGCATGTGCAATTGATTTAAAAAGAAGAAACAGTACCTGTTATTACTTCTACAGATGCTGGTCTTGGCCTAAACAATGGAATCTGGCTATCACACTCTTCCAAATCCCTAAAAATTGCAACATTAGGAGCTGTGGAAGATACAATTCCTGCCATTACATTGAATCTTCTAGCAGGCATCTGAGATAAATGGACTATTCTAGCACAAGCAATAGGCATCTGAGATAGATGGACTATTCTAGCACAAGGCATCTGAGATTGAATTGCATTGAATCTTCTAGCACAAGCAAGCTGTTTTGTAGGCATCTGAGATTCAATCCTCTGCAAATGTTCTTGCAAGGCTTGGACTGCTTCTGCAGCATGAAGACCATGCAAATCTAATGTCCACTCATCATTCTTCAAATTCTTGATTCTCAGAATTTCTTTTGCTGCCTTGGCATTTAGTTGTTTAGCAGTCAGCCATTCTTCACGAGCTTTCCGCGAATAGAGTTGGGCAGATAAGTGATCCCCTCTCAGATAGGCATCCACGGAAGCCTTAGAGTTCCGAGATGCTGAACTGTTTTTCAATAAGAAAAGTGCATAGACAAGGACTGTGAGCTAAATAATCTTCAAAACAGAAACCTAAACTTCAGCATAACTCAATATACTTTAGAAGGGTACAATCTTAACACTACAAGGTTTCAGCAAAAACAGAAACCAAAAGAACTGAGTTCGCAAAATAATTGCCAATGCCAGTTCAACTTCACCAGAACCACTACAAGATCAGTGCCAAAAAAAAAAATGCACTAACCAGATTCTACTTAAATCAAACAAGAATGACTTATCATTACAACTCGACATCCCGAGGTCAACACAAGAGCAACCATCAAGGAACCAGTACAACTACATCTACTAGTACGGAAGTCTACCTTCCAGAAACCAGGAAGTGCAACATGGCAGAGTCAGATGAGGTCAATGAACGATGGTGGTGCAAGATGGCAAGAGAATGGACAGCATATTTATACAAAGATGACTGACAATAGAGACGACAGACAAGAAGGAAAGAGCTGTGAGGTAAGGGTAAGCCCATGAGTTTTTGAGTGCCAGCTGTGAGTTGTCAAGTGTGAGCTTTAAGAGAGATGGAGAACATCACAGTATCAGCAGTGGGTATAAACTGGAATAGAATTAGGCTGTGTCTGACGGTCTGTGTGACATATTTATGTTAATATATACACATTATGTATATATACACATATAAATACATAAACTGTCTGTATGTATTTGTGTACGAACAGAAATATGCTTTTACTAATATATAGTACCAAATGCAGACTCCGATTTTAATGAGTCCCTAACGGCTGTAATGAATTCGAAATTGATAATTTCAAACTTAAGAAAGCCAGATCCATTTCTGTACTTTTTTGGTCATTTGTATGTATGTATATTTATATATATTTCCAAGCATCCAGCATAATTACCAATTCACGTCCCCTAATTCATTCTAAAATTGGTTGATAATTCATTTTTTCCCGTTTATGCACACCCTAATTGTCAAACACAAGACACAACCTTCCAATTTTGGCACACCTTTTAGTAACATTAGTGGTAAAACTTAAATTATCATTTAATTGATAAATACTCATACTCTCACTCACTCTTTTCCTAGTTATCCAAGGTTTTAGTGTTAACTTCTGTTTCTAAAAGTGCCTCTTTGCATAAATTCTCAAATATCTTGGCAAATTAAAAATCTTGCAAACCAAATCATATGTAAAAGATTTCAAAGTTGAAAACCTGCATAACAAAAGCATAAAAGAAATAGCACAGGATTCTTGTGAATAAAAGCATAAGAACACTAAAAGCAAAGAAATTATCATCTAAGGTAGCACAAGGTGGTATCTGACAACTGCAAAGAATATTCTAATAAAAGAAGGCTATCACACCAGAAAAAATAACTATATTCATAAATTGCCAGTCATGTAACCTTTTTTTTTTTTTGAGTTTAAAAGCAGGATTTCAGAAATGGAAAAGAATATCACAACACTGGCTCAAGCAAAAGAATATGATCTAAAGCAAGCTGGTTCAGGAAAACCGCAAATGGCAAGGCAGGTTCTTGTCCATGGAAACGTATATCAGAGAAGTAGCAAGATATACATAGCTATCCATAGGAAGAATTTCAATTATGACACACTTACCCAGTATATAATCAAGAGTTCTGAATGTGATTCAAGTTGCTTATTCATGTTCTCTAAACTTCTGTGATGAATATGAAACTAAATTAAATAACAAAATGGCCGTACACATCATGATATATCACTGAGAACCAAATTAAACAAACATAATCTCCCAGTCCTTAATTCAAACAACTATGGAGGGTTCAAAGACCAAAAATTAGAAATTCAACATAAAGCACATTCGGATAGCAAGAACTAAAAAACTATGATACCAATGCTCTTCCATATCTGCAATCTCCACCATATTCATAATGCATCGAATATTCCAGAGCACAATAAGTTGAAGGGATAAGTTTAAAAGGTGCCATTTAAAGTGCAATCCCAAAATTCTAGCAAGAAAATGGATGTGATGAGCAATTTGTCATAATTGAGTATGTGAATTACATATTTTTAATACCAGGATTTCTATACCTTTTTCCCTGAAATTTGTGTATGAGAACAAGAAAAAGGAAAGAAGCATCCTTATTACAAGTACTGCATATGATTGAAGTAAAAACAAAAATCAAGTTCATAGTGCAGATGGCAGCTAAAATTTATACCAGAAACAAACCTCGTCATCTTTTGTGCCTCTTTTCTTTGAGCCAAGTAAACATCATCTTCTTCCCGCTCAATGGGTAAAGATTTGATAGAATTCAGAATCATTTTTGTAGCAAAGACATCATGCAGAAGCATTCTCCTCGAAGAAGCACGTTCATCTGTCAAATCTCGATTATTGCTAAGCACAAGACCCTCAAGAAGACGCATCACTTGAGAAAGATCTGTGTCCTTTTCAGCTAATGACTTATTTTCATTCACAAGAGACTTCTTACGATTGAACTTTAATTCATCAGTCCCAGTAATTTTAATATTATTGTATCTTTGCTCAGAGGAAACCATCATTTTCAATAAGGATGAGGCCTTATCAACATCATAGTCTACACCAGCCAAAACATCCTCAATCAGGTATTGGTCTGCCCAAGGATGGAGCTCCTTAAGCATTCCATTTGCCTTCAAAGCATCTTTGACACCACTAGAGCAACCACCCTGCAATTTCTTTTCATGCATATCGCTGCGTTTCGGCTTGATCTGAAATTTGACAGCATCCTGTAGTAGAGACGCAAAATGCTTCTCCGATGCAGTTATATCTGCTATGTTTGTCAAGGCTTTCTGACTTTGCTCCATTGAGCTTGATATTGCTGGAAAAAATTCCTTTGCTTCAGGTTCAGGACGCTGCTTACGACGATGTTCAAGGTCAAATGCAGTACAACCAGACGTTTTACCTCTCCTCCGCGACATTTTTGTGTCCAGAGGTTGTACACTTGCAGAAGTAGTCAGGTCAAATACAGTCCAACTAGACGTTTTACCTCTCCTCTGTGACATCTTTGTGTTCAGAGGTCCTGCACCAGCAGAAGTAGTCATCTTAGACGACAGATATTCTCAAAACCATCCTGTTGCGCACATGCAACAGCCCGCCCCGCCCGCCCCCCTTCCCCTCTCTTCCCTTTTTTGTCCCAAAGTTTATGCAATTATAGAGAACTCTCAATAATGCAAAATTCACGTCTTTGTCGCCGTTGTGTATGAAGATATTAATCCAGACAAAGGAAATTCCAATAACAGTTAATATAACACAAAATGAAGCTTTCGATCAACTAATTGATACAAATACAAATTGGAATGACAATAACACAATACTTTTTATTAGCCCATCAACAAAAATGAAAGACGAAAATAATTGCTGTGAAAAAACTGAATCCTCCAATCAGAAGAGAGAGAGAGAGAGAGAGATAAAAAATGGAAAAAAAAAAAATCATTCTTTCAATGTCGTGAAATTGTACTAACCGTTCAGAGAAACTGAACCTTCCACTAAAATTGCTTTAAGCAAGTTTTTCAGTTTTTATCATTTTACATAGAAAACTGTAATCTGATTATACCCGTAATCATTAATTATAGTATTATAAGCTACTGAATAAGCTAAATTAAATTCATGAACTAATTAAAATATCCACACTAGTTATACATCATTAAACTCTGCCAAAATATAATAATTCTAAATTAAATACAAAAGTCTCAAGCCAATATTCATAAAGCACATCAAATATGTACTTTGACTAATACACTATCATAAATATGCTCTAATTAGTTTAATATACTGTCATAATAAAGCTATACCAAAAAAAATTTTAAAAAATAAAAATTAGTCAGATAAAACACGTAGACATTTAATACACAATCATAAGCTAATTACTCATCCAAAAATCACCGACAAAAAATCCTAATTATAAGAAGAAAATATAACATGAAAAAAGAAGAAGAAGTACCTGTTAAATATGCTTGGCTTGGCTTGGCGAAATTAAAACGCAATTACTACTAAGGTATTTCAGTAATACGTCGAAAATCCGGTATCCGAGGAGTCAAATGATCGGACGGCGGTGGAAAAATCCGGTATTTCAGCCACGGTGAGTAGACGATTACAGCCCAGGATGAAGATGAAGATGATGATTGAAAAGGGAATTTGCAACTCAAATCCATATAAGCTGTTCTAAAGATAGGGAATATTATTTAAGAGAATAATTATCAAAGGGAAAAAGGAGAGGGGACCAATTGATTATTGACAAGGGAATATATGGGCCCAATTGATTATTGGCCTGGGAATATATGCATTAGTATTAGGATTCTTCTTTTGCTTGGGAAGTAAAAGTCTGAAAAAAAAAAAACCAGAAGTAAAAAAGCAGACTTTTTTCTTTCACTTTGATTCTTCCCCCGATTTTTTCCTTTTCTTTTGCCCTTTAGATTTGCTTTAATTTAAAGTGCTTTGTGAATTTGGCACGTGTGCCACTCCAACTGGAAAAGGGTTAATCCTAAAAACTTCACCTATAAGGAATAGTCGGATTTGCAATTTATTTCCTAAACTTTATTTATTTTTTTCATTTAACTCTCTACGAGACAAAACTACACCTTAATTCTGCTAAATATTTCTTTTCATATTTCTACTTTCTTTTATCAATTAGACTTAAGCCAGAGTTCAATTTTGATCATTATAATTCATGACGTTGGGGTATTTTAATTTAAAAAAATCAAATATCCTGAACTTAATTGAATGGTATTTTCAATTATACTTTTATAATATAAAGGAGAAATTTTTTGACCATAATATATTGTACAACAATGCTTTGTTGCTAAAATTGTATAATTATTTGGTTTAATATCTAGGTTGTAACTCCTATACTCTTCTAAGTACAAATACATGATGAAACATGTCTTTTACATATATCTTTACAATTTTGGGATTCTTCCACTATTCTTTTTGTTACTACAAATATAATATATTAGAAAATGTATTATTACAGTATTCTATATGAAACAAAGGACGGTGTTATGTGAGATATCTATCTTACTTCAACAGTGTAGATTAGAATGGTTTAGTAAAAATAAGTTGGATTATTGTATTTTAAAGGTAACGTACTGAAACTTACAACACTAGAAGATATTTCATAGGGGCACAAATCATTTTATAGAAAACAACCTAGTTCATGCCTCAAGTCATATTTTTTGAGATTTTTCACAGTATGAATGCATACTCTTCTTCCATTTTTTGTTTTGGGTGAACTCTTGACTTGCATTACTAAGGAAAAGTTACTAGTAGCAGCCAGCCACTCTCACAAATATCAGTATAACTACCATCACTACAGAGAGAACATACCACAGGCTGACAAAACTGCTTTTATTATATTGTAAGGTTTCAAAACTATTTTTAAGGTGATGTGCTGAAACTTACAACACTAGAAGATATTTTGTAGGGGCGCAAATCATTTTATAGAAAACAACCTAGTTCATGCCTCAAGTCATGTTTTTTAAGATTTTTCATAGTATGAATGCATACTCTTCTTCCATTTTTTGTTTTGGGTGAAACCTTTGACTTGCATTACTGAGCAAGGAAAAGTTACTAGTAGCAGCAAGGCACCCTTACAAATATCAGCATAACTACCATCGCTACATAGAGAACATACCACAAGCTAACAAAACTGCTTTTATTATACAGTAAGGTTTCCTACACATTAAAGAAGGAATTTTCTCTGAAAGTTCGATTTGAAACATAGTTTCCAAGTTGCTCTGGTTCGTGGAATTCTTCTCTATCCTACAACAACTTGGCATACATTCTTCAAAATGCTTTGAATCAATTCCAAGAACTCTGAGCCTTCTGTTTAAAGAGTCTCAAATTTCGCTTTCTCCATAACAAATATGCCAAATCCCTAAAGCCCACTTCTGGACCTAATTTATGAAAGTCATCTGCTCTTTTTAGCACTAAAAAGAATAATTTTGTTATGCCTCTAACATATTATTAGTTAATACAAATTTAACCTCATAGCAATCTCCAGATAGGTACCCCAAAAAAAGGGTAAATTACATATAACCCCCCTATGGTTTCACATTCGATCACATAACCCCTCTCCATCTTTCAAATATGACCACATAACCCCATATGGTTACATGAAATGTGGGAAGTGGATGGAAGAAACATCCCTCCATCACATCTAAATGTGAATTGCCAAAAATGTCCCTACATATGTACCAAAGAATACAATTAAGCAATTGGCCTTCAACACCTGAATTTTTTCGCTATTCTTCTTAAAGGGAGAGACTTGAGAGTCAGAGAGAGAGACTGAAAAATGAAAGAGAAGCAACACAATCCAACTCGTAGTAAGATTGAACTGAGGGTTTTTTGCAGAAGCAAAACATTGCATAGCACTTATTTGGTAAGTAAATACTTCTTTGTCTTAATCAAATTTATTGATTTTAGGGTTTTGGTATTTAAATGTCTGAATTCGAAAGTTTAAAGTTTGAATGGTTAAAAACCTTTTGAATTGGTGTTAGCCATTTTTTTTATTGTAGATCTAAGGTTTCATGATAATTTCACTAATTTGTTACATACAAGAGTTATTTTTTGTGGTACGAAATGAGATTTAAGGTTAAACAAAGTGGGTATTATGGTGGTGCTTGAAATTTGTCAATAACATACCAGATTTGTATTATTTTATTAGTTGGGTATTCTAATGTTGTGTACTCATGCATCTAATTAAACAAATTTTGCCAAAACAAGTTGGTGAAGTAATAGGAATAAAGTAATATCAATTGTCTATGTTTTGGGTAATACTTGGTCTCCAAATAGATGTTTAGTGTTTAGTGGTCCCATGGGAGTAATAATGTAGTATTATTGACTGGTCCTTGAAATATGAATGTGTTTATATATTTTGGCAAGTTGGAAGAAGACAATTACTTGTGCAAACCTTTTGTCATCTACAAGTTTTAATAACATAGAGAATATGCTAACTACCACCCCTAGCATAGTGGATACCCACATGCATATAGGTGGAAAGTTTCCATGGGAACCTGAGATTTTATACAGTGGAAACAAGATAGCAAAGTGTAGTGTTTATAGCTTTAAAAAGAAGTTAACTAGAGACTATCTGTGTCACTTGTAACCTAGAGTAGACAAGGAAGCAGTGCAAATTGAGATATGGTATCAAATTCCTTTTCAGAGTTTGGATATCAGAGTAGCCAAAATCAGCAATGACAAGGACATTGATAAACTACTAGAGTTATATGAAAGGCTAAAATACATTGTCTTATAGGTTGAAAGATGTAATGATGGGCCACTTTGACGAGGTTCTACCATGCACCAAATTTTAATAAAATCTAAAATACCCCATTTTCTGCAAGTATACAAATTGTTTATCGAACATAGGGGATATTAAGTGTCGATCCCACAAGGAAGATTATCGATTACTGATGATTTTTGAACTCTTTAATTATTTAGATTGTCATTAAGTATAAGAAATTAAATCTACACCTATAAACATGAGATATAAGAAATAAAAATAACAAAAGAAAGCTCCTAGGACTATGGAATTCATCACTACTCTTGCAAGTGAAATTATTGGTTAATTGAATGTTATTATCTTGACTAGTTATGACATAATTTCCTAGTATATATGAAATTTACTCTCACAGTGAATCAACTACGTTTGTAACTAAGTCATGCCTACTCTCATGGTTATGAAATTAATTACAAATTCATTTTTTCTATAAAATTAGAAGGAACAAGCCACTGAAGTCACAAAAGTGCTCCTCTACTCTTGTGAGTGAACTCCATAGGTTTAGCACTTCTTTGAATTTGTGTCAAATCCCAATTCTCATTCCAAACTTAACACCTTAAGATTATCACAGTTAATGACTGGTTAACCATAATTAGAAAAGCAAAAGTGCTAAACATCGTGCTAAAAATAATATCATAATCAAGTAAATATCACTAATAAGATATAGAAAGTTCATCCATAACTCTAGACTTAAACTTTAATAACACATGATAAAATCCAAACTTGTAATATAATTAAACGTAAAATCAAATATAAAAGAGAAAGTGATAGGAGAGAGGTCACCCTTGACACATGAGCTCCTCAGTTCTTTATCCAAATCTTGCTACAAGCACAAGATGAATAAACTATACTAAATATACTATACTAATGAACTAAGAAAAACTAATAAAGACTACAATTTGGGTAGTGTCTTAGTCTTCCAAAGTTATCAAAAATGTTCTCCAAGGCCCTTATTTTTATAGGAATTCAAGTTACAAATGAGTTGTTAAGGTTGATGTGAAATGCATCTTGAGATTCCCAAAATATGTTTCTACAAGTTTGCACACTTTTCTTTATAGTTGCAGCCGAAATTCTGAGCTAAAGAATAGCTGAAAAAGCTGTGTGAATGCAGAACAAGTTGAGGTGCAAGCTTTAGTTTTGTTTGAAGAATACGTGGGCATGATGTTGCGTATTATGCCCCGTTTTGCCTTATTGCTGGTTTCCTCATTTTTTATCAGTCTAAACTTCACTCTATTCTTGCACCAAATTCCACTGCTATTTCCTCGATGATGGAGGTTGAATTAACTCTTGTGCAAATATGAAAATTGTAACTCTTTGAGTTAGCTTTTCAATGCTTCTAGAATCATCCAATTTGGATCTCTGTAAACTAAGAAATGACTAAAATAGCCTTGACTAGTTAATCCTCTATTTCAGTTTTTGACAATAGAAATGACCAATAGTATTTCAACTTTTTGACTAGGAAAACTCATGAACTGAATTTCGATGTCTTCATAAGCAATGTAGAGCTACGTGTTAGCTTCAAAATGGCTTAAGAATCATTTTAATCCAATGTTTGTAACTCAAGATGTAGTCAAAATACCAATAGGCTTTCTTTTGTACTTAATTGCATTTTCTCTTATGAACATATTATACTTCATTTTCTCTTTAAATCACTTTAAATCATCAACAATCATTCCAATATCTTCTCAATTCACTCCATTTGATGATTGGATCATTAAATCTTTAAAAATATGAAATTTTTACCACTTTAAACACATAGAGATGCAATGTTTGACACTTAAACCACAAAATACATACTTTTACTAGAATCCTAGTTAATTAGGTAGAATATAAGTAAAACACATCAAAACTAAATAATAAAACAAACTTAAATTACTCAAAATACACACTTATTAAATTTTCCCACACTTGAAATATTGTTTGTCCTAATGCAATTAAGAATTATAAA